CCCTACAGGTGTGCAGATCGAATTCCTGTTGCCTACAGACCCTATGACAGTCTACCTAGGCCTACCAATATACAGTTCGCAGGTTCAAGGCCCGGAGTCGACACGGCTACTGTACATAGGTAAGGTTGGGATCTAGGGATCGAGCCCTGGGGTCTGCTTCTGTTGCTGCAAAAGGTGAAAACCGTTTCACTTCGATCTGGGTCTGGATTTCAACAGTTCAAGGGTGTGCCAACAGTTCCATCAGGGTCTGTATTTCAACAGTTCAAGGATGTTATACTGTCCATGTAGCTTCAAATTCAATTTATTTTTTTCTGTTTTTTTTTTTTTTTTTTCCAAAGGGCAACAGCCCGGAGGTTTTGTCATGGACCCTAGAGGCTTAATCATTGGTCCTAGTGGTATCATCGTTGAACCTAGAGGTGTCATCATTGAGATAATATGGGAGTCCACGTGTTTCCATAAAGGATGACAACCTCGAGTCATCGTCCATCTGGCGTCTGAATCGGTCTGATTGCATCTGGTTTCGAGCTTGGTTCTGTGTTTCAACGGTTCAAGGGTGTGCCAACAGAGCAGTATTTTTTTTTTTTCATTTCTCGAGGGTGACAGCCTTGAGGTATCATCGTTGAGCTGACAGGCCCGGGTGGTCCAGAATAATTTTATTGTCCATGTGGCATTTGTTGCATCTAGATTCGAACTTGGGTCTGTAACAGTTCAAGGGAGTACCAACTGTGCAGCAGCTCGAAATGTGTTTTTATTTTTTCATTTTTCTTTTTTTTCAAAAGGCGACAAAGTTGAAGTATCATCATTGAGCTGACTGACCCAGGGAGCTCAGAATCATGTTTTCTGATTATCTACTTACATCTAGAATTGTGCAATGGTTTGTCTGTTAGAAGAGTCTGTCTGCTAGATAGCCTGTATGTTTATCTGTCTGCCCGGGTGATTAACTCACCCCATTTTTGCTGTTTGATTTGGCGAATGGTGCTGGGTGCAGGAAAAACCTGCCGCCGTAAGCCTAATCAATAACGGCTGATTTTTTTGTTGAAAGTCCTGCTGGGTCTTCATCCGCGTCTTCAAAACCAGACATGGTGAAATTGAAGATTGCAATTCATCGTTCACTCCAAAAGGGAGGGCCTGAGGCACAGTATCTGTTGAAGGAGGAAAGGTCTAGCAGTGCACAATGTTGGCGCAAATTTGCACATGTCTGTCATACGGACGAGACACCTATCAAGGAGCATGGCTCCGGTTATGCGGCGTGTAAAAAATGTCATGCTGTGTATGCTTACGAGGCGCGTCACAACACAAGCTCCTTGAACGACCATAAATGTCGTTTGGGTAACACAGAGACCGGAACAATGCGTCTTTTCGCAACAACGGTTGAGCCGAGTGCTGCACAAAAGAGGCAGTTTGCCAAGTCTGTTGCTTTGATGTGCTGTGAGGATTTTAGGCTTTTTTCTATAGTAGAGGACCAAGGGTTCCTTCGAAACTCGCAGGTTGTTTTAGATATAGGAGTTAGTTCCGCCAGGGCCATGAAGATAGAAGATTTGGTTCCCTACCGAAACACGGTCAAAAATAAAGTCATGTCGATTGCAGAATCACTCCGGATTGTAGTCGTCGCAAAGATGAAAGAGCACTTTGCTGACAAGATGCATGTCGGGTTCACTGTTGACCTCTGTACATATTCGATAAAGAGAACTTCTTTTATGTCGATCACAACTCATTACATTGACAAACTTTTCAAACTCCACGTTCGAACACTCCAGGTCAAACCATTTTTTGAGCAGGCACACACTGCTGTTAATGTTTTGAAAGCATTTCAAGAATGTCTTCACGACCTCGGGTGTGAAGATTTTAATAGGTGTGTTGTGTGTTCGGACAGTGGATCGAACATGTGTGGAGTGGAAGGGATTCGTAGCAAATACAAATGGCTGCCTTCTGGCGACCATAAACTCGCAACGATGTTGACCACTGTGCTCAATAAGACCACAACAACAGCGAACACGGTAAGGTCAACACCATTTTATAGATTCGACGAATCTGCACCAGAGGTCTTCACCTTGATTGAGAACTGCAACGAATTAGTTCGGCATGTGAAGCTGTCCAACCTGCAGAGGTTGCTGAAAACCACTCTCAAGCAGGAAAATGTTACAAGGTGGAATTCGTTGTTGAGAATGTTCAAAAGTGTCAAGATTAGTTATGACGACGTCTCAGGATTGTTGATGAGTCGGGGCGGAAATAAAGCGATATTGATTGCACAAATCAATCTCGACCTACTAGAGGAGTTGATACGTTTTCTTGAGCGTTTAGAGGAAGCAACTCTGAAATTGGAAAGTTATCTGCAGCCTTCTCTTCACATCGTAGCTTTCGAGCGAAATGAATTGCTCCAACATTGCGAAATCCGAACGAAGTCTTCAAAGGATGTGGACGAGTCAGAAAAAGAAGTTGTCATTCCACGGGATTCAGATAACATCGCAACAATCAAGAGGTTGGTGAAGGATGTGCTGACAGAGAAATGGCATGTGGAAGATCTGCATGTACTTGCTGCCTTGCTTGATCCCCGTCAGAAGGACAGGTTGGCGATATTCGAGGTCTCCTTTGTGCAAGTTAGAAGATGCAAGACCCTATTAAAGACAATCATGCAAGATGTCGCTGAGAACGTTGATGCTGATGTGGAATCGTTGGAAGTGGAGGTTGTGAAAGAACGCCCTTCGAAAAGAAGAAGGACAAGACCGGGGTTGTGCAACTCTGATGAGGAGGACGAAGGAATGTCGGGAAGGACTGCAACAGTGACGCTGACCTTAGCCGAAAAGATTCAAAGAGAGTTCGATCATTATTTCACGTTGAAGTTGACCAAGGATGAGAAACGAACTTTTGAACTCCTCCTCTGGTGGAAAATGAAAGGAATGATTGTCACAACATAGGATAAGCGGGTACTGCTCCCTCCTTTGCCTATCATGGCACGGGTTGCTCGCTCAGTTTTATGTGTCCCCGCATCGAGCTCGAAGAGCGAGTGCAATTTCTCAGATGCAGGGAACACATTGACAACAAAAAGAAATGCTCTTGGTGGTTCAATGGTGGACGACATTTTGTTTGTTAGATCGAACAAGGATTTGTTCAGCACATAAATATACGGACATGGTTGTTCTATTTTGCCATTTGCCCAGTTACATACCCGTTTTAGTAGGCTTCTTGTAGTTCTTGTTACTTGGATAGCGTCGAACACTTCACCTAATATTCGTATCTGATTGCATATCTTGTTGCTTGGAGTGCGGGTTGAGGTTGTAGTGGGTGTCAACTCGAGTACCGGATCAGGATTACAACAGTTGACCTAGGTTGTATAGCATGACCCAGTTTTTTACAGTAGTGTGAAATTCGATCATGAACCCACATGCTTGGAAATGTTTGGTCCTCTTGGGTATTACCGGGCTCCAATTGGAGGTGAGTGTAGAGGCTTCGACTCAAACCGCCGATGAAGTGAGCTACCAGACTTTCTGAAAATTATTGACACTGTGTTGCTTGTGTTAATCGTGAGATTGTGAGGTATTTTATTTTAATTATCATTGTCGATATTGTTGATGTGCTAATACCAAGATCTCAAATATCTTTTTGAAATGTTATGTTATCAATGAGATTGTAACGGTGTAAGGGACTGACAAGGGCGGATGCGGACGGATACGAGTGGGTGCGGGTAGGAAAATTTTAGGTCCCGGATGCAGGCGGGTTCTTACGGGTGCGGGTGGGTCCGGGGGAGGGTTTTTTTTGGGTGTCGGGCGGGTCGGGCGAGGGGCTGAAATTTCAAAAAGTGTTTTGGGTCGGTGGGGTCATCTTTAATAGAAAATTAATATTTTTGGGTCGGGTGGGCGACAAAAAAAAAAAGTTGGGCGGGTTGGGTGAGAGGTGAAAAAAAAAAAAAATTGCCACTTCTGTGTTGCTCATCTCAACGGTCCGTGTACCAAGGCGGCCACCAGGATTGCAAATCGGTTGTTGGTCAGGGCACCGTTTATCCATTAAGCGAAGTGGTTAAGAAAAGGTCGCGAAGTTGCAGACTTACCAGTGGGTTGCTGTGTTGCTTTGGCAATCGATCGGAGTACCAAGGAGCGGGAGCTCCAAGGCTATATGCCTGCCTGCTGAACGCCATGTTGCTCGGCCTGTTGCGCGGGGGGGGGGAGGGGGGGGATTAAAAGCAAGCGGTAGGATTGCAGGTTTACCTGCTGGCTGATGAGATGTTAATCATGCCAGTTGAGCTAGTCAGGGACAGACCGTGAGGTTGCAAGCTCACCCATAGTCAACGCACTTGGGGTCACAAGCGTGATAGAGCGATGTGTCATTGGAAGAGGTCGTCGCTGCAAGCGGGAGGTTCGTCGGGAGAAGTTGTTCAACATATTGACTTCAGTTGACAAGGCTGTTCTGCAGTTTGGCCGTCATTGTGGGACCCTCAAGCGAGTCAAGGAACCAAGGCTCTCTCATGCGAGTCAGAGTGCACCATTTCTGGATTTGAGAGACTAAATGTTTTTATCTCTGCCTTTCTTACTCTAAGTCTGGTCTATTGGTTTGAAGAGGAAGGCGGTAGACGAGATTGCAACCCGTAATCCGTGTCAAGGCCTCTGTGGGAGGTTGCCCTGCTGCAACAGAAAAATTTTCCAGAATTAAATAATCATTCTAGAGTAAAATTACATTCTAAATTTCAAATTTTCATTCCATCTTAAAAAATGTCATTTCAATTTTAATATTTTCTGTCTTACTTTAAAACTTTTCTTCCAAGAATAGGGTATCCCCTCTTATTTGAACTGCATGCTAGAGATGGAATGAAAGTTTGGATGAGTTCCTGAAATATTATAATTGGACTGTAATTCTAAGTAAGGATTTCCAGTCATAAATAGGTTTATCCAATCTAAATTAGAAGGTATTTGTTGTAGTAAAATGAAAGTCTGATTAAAACATTTCATAAACTCGTCCAGACTGTCATTCCATCTTGAACAAATAGATGTACTTGGAAATTAGACGGGAACTTATCAAATGAAATTGGAAATTTTCGAATTGGACGAACATTGGAATGATAATTTATAAATATCAAGGATTTTTTTTGTATGCAATGTTTTTTCAACTTTCATTTCTTGTGGGAATTTTTCTGTTGAATTGCGGGAGCTCTGCCGGAACCTGTGCAAGGTTCTAGAGACAGAGAAGTAAGTGGTAATCTCCATCTCCTTTAATAAATCTCACTAAAACCCTTACTTTTACATTTTTCTATGGTTTGAGTGAGTATACCATATGCATTCCCTATTGATCTTATGTTTGATTCCTAGTTTTACATCAGAGTTAAGTAAAGGAATGCATGTGCAATCTCAGTTTTATTTTTTTTTGTTGTCTGAAGTTGGATTGAGAAAGGGTTTTGCATTGGGGGAAGCCGAGAGAAAGGTGGTTTTGCTTGCGATTGCCCAAGTCAACCAAAGGTTGGGCTTAGTTTCTAAGTTGAATGACTCAGTGCTTTGTTTTGTTTTCATTGTTTGGAGGACTGAACTTTATTCCTAAGTTGGATGATCTGATTGCTCTGGATTGCGAGGGCTGTCTGCGATAGGTTTTTAAGGTAGCAAGCTTTATTTCTAAGTTGAATGGTTTGGTCGCCATGATTTATTTTAATATTTTTTGAGTAGGACTGGACATTGTTTCTAAGTTGAATAACCCAACCTCCTTATGTTTCTTTATTGTTTCTAAAAGAGGGAGTTTGTGCGTTGTTTCTAAGTTGGATGACCCGAACTTCCTTTTTGTTTATTCTGAGGGAATCATGTGAAAGATCAAATATTGTTTCTAAGTTGAATGGTTTGGTCTAAAGCTACCCGCATGCTGGAACCAAAGGGTAAATTTTGTCTATACTTTATTACTATCTTATTTACGAACATGCTAGTCAAATATTGTTTCTAAGTTAATGTAGTAGTGCCCAGTATTTGTGTATATTAAATGGATAAGCTAAACATTGTTTCTAAGTTGAATGGTCTAGATTTATGTCTATAAGGGATAAATCATCGAAAAACTATGAATTATTATTGACAAGGTTTGACCTTGGGACTGGGTAAGAGTACTTACCATTGTGGTTTTGACTCTCATGTGGTTGAGTGAGAGTTTTGCTTTGTTTGAGTTTCGGTTGATAGGTAGTTGCTTTTAGTTGCTCGCCACGCGTTAGAGTTATAGGAATCCGTTCAATTTCTGCATTTTTTTAACTAAGTTTTTTTACTTAGGTCAAGTGTTGCATTTTTTAGGATCATTTATTATACTTGGCTTCAGCGTTGTCAGACCGAATGTACGGAGAACCCTAAGCGGACCCCGGAACCTTCGGGCGTTGAGGTCCCTGTACGGGGTCCGAACTTGAAGGGGTTCGGACCCCGCCAAAAAATATTTTGACACATAAATATCACTATTGTTTTCTAAATTTTATTTTGTGAGTTCTTCATGATGCAAGGTATCTCCTTCTTAATTTTGAATTCATTTTGTTTAACCAAAAACAAATGAAAAATCCTCAAAGATGATGGTGTCAAAACTTGTTTGCCCACTCACTAATTTGTTTTTGCTCAATTTTTACTTTTTGGTTTTCCTTTATTTCAAGGCATGAAAAAAATTATTATTTTTTCAAACTTTATTTGTAGATTTTCCATTATATAAGATACACATATATAAATTTTCATCGTTTTTGACGCAACAAAAAAAAAAAAACAATCGTCAAAGATGGCAGTATCAAAAATATGCTCGCCCGCCCAATAATTTTATTATCGTTTTATTTTTTAATTTTTTTCACTATTAATATTTATTTTTAGTATTTGATTTTTATTTCAAATTTGGTAAATAATTTGGATGTAATGTTGAGCCAAATGGTTTTTAGTTTATTCTTCTGCATAACATGTATTTTTTCTAGAGCTTTTGAAATTCTTTGTTGTTGTTGTTGTTGTTTTTTAAGGGGGGGGGGGTGCATTCGGCTGAACGGCCGAACGCGTAGAGAGGGGGTGCCAAACGTTTGGGCTTTCGGGTACGGGCGTTCGGCTCATCCCGAATGCCGGCAACCCTGCTTGGCTTTGTATAAATTTTAGAAAGTTACTTTCTCTGCAGAAAGCGCTACTGAAATTTCTGCAAAACCAAGGAGGTAGTTAAATTTTGGTTTTTCAAAAGTCAACTTTTGTCGAAGTTTATGTATGACTTAGTATAAATCAGGAAAAGTTTCTTTTCTATGGGAAAGTGCTGGCCAAATTTTTGCTAATTCAGGGAGTCAAACAAAAAATTTGACTTCGGGAAGTCATAATTTTTTCAGATTCTGTATTTAGCATTGTATGAATTTTTGAATTATATTTTTATAGGGGAAGTGTTGTTGAACTTTCTACAAATCTAAGGAGTTAGTTACTATTTTGTCTGGGAGGAACTCAAAGTTTCATTTTGAATTTTTATCTAAATTTGGGAGGTCTACTTCTCTAAAGGAGATGTTGCCCAAATTTTCACTAATTCAGGGAGTTAGATAAAATTTGACTCCAAAATGTTAAAGGTCGTTTTAATTTTCATATTTGAGCGAGTATAACTTATGAGAAGACACTTTTCTTACGGAAAATGTTGCCGAAATTTTCTTAGTTTGAGGAGTTAGATTATATTTAAATAAGAAAGATTTTGGCAATCCATCCTAAGTAAGGGAGATGTTGTTATAAATCTTACTTTCCTTAGATATTTTCTTAAAGGTAGACTTAGACGTAGTTATGAGAGGATTTGAGTGAGGTATTATCTAAAGACTATTTTTCATATACTTTATGCTGACACTTTTCTTATGGGAAATGCTGCCGAAATTTTCTTAGTTTGAGGAGTTAGATTATATTTGAATAAGAAAGACTTTGGCAATTCATTGTAAGTAGGGGAGATGTTGTTAAAAATCTTACTTTTCTTAGGTACTTTTTTAAAGGTAGACTTAGACTTAGTTATGAGAGGATTTGAGTGAGGTATTATATAAATACAATTT